AAATAAACAGCACATTGGTGTCTGGAGAACTGTGCTTCCTATGAGTGAGAAAACATTACATGACAGAGCACAAAAATAAACCATTATTACATCTGGGAGTTTGCACAGTCCATTTACTTTGAACTCCTAACTGACAGCTGATGGGTGCAGTATAAAGTTGGCCATTTAAAAACACAAAGAAATTTAGTGTAATCTTTGAAACAAATAACAAATTTATTGTCACCCAGTCAGCTGAATATGCTCAGGAATATGCCACACATTTTTCTTTTTTGGAGGGGGTGGAGACTGAAACACCTGTCATTGTGTTTACAGTTTATTGTTTTCCATGAAAGAAAACTGTTGCCAGTTTGTAAAACTTTTGGTTGCTGGATGCAGCAACACTTAATCATTTATTTGCTGACTTACTGTAACTCACTGTTAGACTCACTGTTAAGGACACAGAAATGCAAAAGGATGTATTTGTATAAATATGTGCTTCAATATGAATTTAAAATAGATTTTAAATTCAAAATGAATTTTGATGCTACAAAAAAGTTTGATATACATACTTGTTATTGATATTTCATAAAAATAATTTTAACAGATTATACATGTTATATGTTTTTATTTTTTAAATGAAAATGCACACAGAAGTGTCAGATGTTTTGTTTTTCATACCCATGCATTGTTTTTTCTTCATGCTGAATCCTGGATTGCAGCCTGCGGATACCAACAGCACCATGACGAGGAAGAAAGACAGAGCTGAAAAACAAGCAGAGAACATTGGCAGTGGAAACTTGCATTTGTGTTGTTGCAGACTGTAATTTCTTCACACCATTTGTAATTTTCACATTCATTTATATCTTTGTTAAGGAAACAGAAATTTGAGGGATGAATTTGTACAAATATGTGCTTCAGTATGAATTTGAGATTTCTCTACATGGCTTGTAATTTTTATCTATAAAAAAATAATGTGAAACAATGTAGTTGCACAAATATATGCTTCAAAATGAATTTGATATGCATTTAAAAATCAAAATGGCTGGTTAGGGCCCTAGCAGGGCCTCCTCTTGAAATTGCCCTTGTGTGGCTGTGGTTTTCTCTCTCCGCCTCCTCCTCTCTTGCTCCACCCCTCTGTCTCTCTCTCACTCTTCTCTCTCCCCAGGACACAGCTGGTTTTGATTAGCCTCATTTACCACCTGGGCCCAGTCAGCAATCACCTCTCTGAGGCTATATAAGCTGGGGATGAACTGTGAGTGAGTTGGTTTTCTTCCCCCTGTGGCGCTACACGGTTTCCCCCTAGGTTTTGGACAGGCTCCTTCGAGTCGTGAGTAGATGGGCTTGTGGGCTCCGGAAGTGTCTCCCTTATTTGTTTGGTAGTTTTTTTTCCTTTGTTGCTGCGACTGCTTCCTTTGTTTCTTTGGCATTATTGGTAAAACGGTGTTGCCGGCTCTTTAAGTTAAGATTATTTGTAATAAAGCTATAATATATACTGAGCACTCTGTCTGGTTTCCTTTCATTCAGCTCTGGACCCATTTGCTACCGGTCCCCACACTCATACCCCTCGACCTCATCGTGGGGACGTAACAAATAGAAACTTGATACTGAACTTTTTTGTTTTCTTTCTCTAGTATACTAGAGAAAGAAAACAAAGTTCAGATTCAGCCAACAGTACCATCAGTAATCACCAGTGTGGTGTGAGGTGAACTGTATTTCCTCTAAGAACTGAACTGTATTTGCTATGAAAGAATGTAATTTGTTTTGTAGAACCATGTTGATATATGCTAACATTACATTTAGTATATATACTGGCAATGTATGACCAAAAGCTCATACATTTTCTTATTTACCGGCTGCAAACTTGATATGCAGGTTTAAATGGTCCTTGAGTAGGACAACATGTTCAAGTGCTCTTAATCTATTACAGCATTTATATACAGTGGGGCAAAAAAGTATTTAGTCAGCCACCGATTGTGCAAGTTCCCCCACCTAAAATGATGACAGAGGTCAGTAATTTGCACCAGAGGTACACTTCAACTGTGAGAGACAGAATGTGAAAAAAAAATCCATGAATTCACATGGTAGGATTTGTAAAGAATTTATTCGTAAATCAGGGTGGAAAATAAGTATTTGGTCAGTAACAAAAATACAACTCAATACTTTGTAACATAACCTTTGTTGGCAATAACAGAGGTCAAACGTTTACTATAGGTCTTTACCAGGTTTGCACACACAGTAGCTGGTATTTTAGCCCATTCCTCCATGCAGATCTTCTCGAGAGCAGTGATGTTTTGGGGCTGTCGCCGAGCAACACAGACTTTCAACTCCCGCCACAGATTTTCTATGGGGTTGAGGTCTGGAGACTGGCTAGGCCACTCCAGGACTTTCAAATGCTTCTTACGGAGCCACTCCTTTGTTGCCCGGGAGGTGTGTTTTGGATCATTGTCATGTTGGAAGACCCAGCCTCGTTTCATCTTCAAAGTTCTCACTGATGGAAGGAGGTTTTGGCTCAAAATCTCACGATACATGGCCCCATTCATTCTGTCCTTAACACGGATCAGTCGTCCTGTCCCCTTGGCAGAAAAACAGCCCCATAGCATGATGTTTCCACCCCCATGCTTCACAGTAGGTATGGTGTTCTTGGGATGCAACTCAGTATTCTTCTTCCTCCAAACACGACGAGTTGAGTTTATACCAAAAAGTTCTACTTTGGTTTCATCTGACCACATGACATTTTCCCAATCCTCTGCTGTATCATCCATGTGCTCTCTGGCAAACTTCAGACGGGCCTGGACATGCACTGGCTTCAGCAGCGGAACACGTCTGGCACTGCGGGATTTGATTCCCTGCCGTTGTAGTGTGTTACTGATGGTGACCTTTGTTACTTTGGTCCCAGCTCTCTGCAGGTCATTCACCAGGTCCCCCCGTGTGGTTCTGGGATCCTTGCTCACCGTTCTCATGATCATTTTGACCCCACGGGATGAGATCTTGCGTGGAGCCCCAGATTGAGGGAGATTATCAGTGGTCTTGTATGTCTTCCATTTTCTGATGATTGCTCCCACAGTTGATTTTTTCACACCAAGCTGCTTGCCTATTGTAGATTAATTCTTCCCAGTCTGGTGCAGGTCTACAATACTCTTCCTGGTGTCCTTCGAAAGCTCTTTGGTCTTGGCCATGGCGGAGTTTGGAGTCTGACTGTTTGCGGCTGTGGACAGGTGTCTTTTATACAGATGATGAGTTCAAACAGGTGCCATTCATACAGGTAACGAGTGGGGGACAGAAAAGCTTCTTACAGAAGACGTTACAGGTCTGTGAGAGCCAGAGATTCTCCTTGTTTGAGGTGACCAAATACTTATTTTCGACCCTAATTTACGAATAAATCCTTTACAAATCCTACCATGTGAATTCATGGATTTTTTTTTCACATTCTGTCTCTCACAGTTGAAGTGTACCTCTGGTGCAAATTACTGACCTCTATCATCATTTTAAGTAGGGGAACTTGCACAATCGATGGCTGACTAAATACTTTTTTGCCCCACTGTATTTGCATCTATCAGACTGAATGATTCCCAAGTTACCAAAATGATAGCAGTAATAATCCATTATGCTTGGATATTATTTAAAAATCAAAGTTTGGTTGGTAAAACACTATTTATTCATTTATGTAAATTTTATTATGGTGAAGTTGTAATTCACCATTACTGCAGGAGGAGGTCAAAAACACAGAACACATAGAGACAGGGTAAAACCCTCAGTTCAAATCAGTTTAAAAAAAAGCAATGGCCATACACAGGAAAACAGTCAGCATGACAAAAAAAAAGTCTATTAAACAATGTAGCACTCACAAAAGGGAGACCTGAAGGACAACATGGAGACAACATGCAACAGGCTGTAGAAACAGCCCTGATAACAAACTGAGTGGAGCTATAGGTTTGAACTGATGCTTATCTTTTATAACGGAATGTCAAGGATATCAACAATTATCAAACACTCAGGTGAAGAAACGACACTTAGACACTTGGAGAGAATTTTTAACGTGCACGGGTGAGAGCTCAACAGAGAGACTCACACCCAGCTGCAGGCGTTTTCTTTAATTAAAGCATAGATAGCGGTTCCTGTTTTTCATGTTCGTGTGTATGTGTGTGTGCAGCAAGTCATTTTCTAAGAATAATAAAAATAATGCGAGTCAACTTCTGCGGCTGTGTGGGTGCGGTGAAGCTCCTATCAGCTTCTGCAAATGTGCATTTGTGTGCTGATCTTGTGGCCTTATCACAAGGCTTGCAGTTTCATGTTTATCAAGCTGAGCTGCACAGTGAAAATATGAACATTATCAGTATTGAAGCAAAGCATAAAAACATTTAAACATTTCTTTAACACGGAAAGATAATTTTATAAATAGTTTGTTACGCAAACACAAAAAGCACCGCTCATCAGAAGGTTTTTCTAAGAGTATCTGTAGTATGTTTTATGAAGCAAAAATAAAAGTGCTCACATTAATCACCTGTAGCACCATTTTCCCCTGTCTCAGAAATGAATACATGTGTCAGATTTGTTAGGCAGATGCTCACATTCTCCTGTGAAGCCTTCATCCCACTTTGTTTTTATAAACTAAAGCTTCCCATGTGTAAAACAAAACATTTAAAAAGAAAGAAAGTAAAAACATATTTTATGTTAGTCAGTTAATGAAATATGTCATCTTAAATGAATTAATTCATGTTTTCACTTTGTTTTTTGCATGTTAACCTTTTGAGGTAAGTCATCATCCATCATGTCCTTAAGCCTAGCTTCAAGCCACTAACCCTACGTTCTGGACAGAAGCAAAACGATCTGTCAGGATTTGGAAAATGAGGACCCAAACGCAGACACATGAAGAAAGACTCACTAAAAATAAAACACGGGTTTATGGATAAAAATCCAGAACTCCATAAACACAAACCCAGAAAAAGAAATGCCACACGGAAATACAATGTGAGCATGATAGAAACTGTGACGGAGGGGAAAAAACACTATTTATGAACACACAGACACACTAAGGGATAATGAGGGAAATGGGAAACACAGGTAGCAAGACACAAAACACTCAAGACCACAAGACAGGTGAAGTGGAACTAGCTATAAGACACAGAAGACAAACTATCAAAATAAAACACAAAATCATTGACTAACATAGATAATGAACATGATTATTTTGTTATTATATTCACCAAGATGTGGGAGAACAGGATTAAAACATACCCATTAGCATCTTTTTTCCCTCTGTTTTAGCAGTTTATTTTTTTTTAGGGAGACAAATGAAGCATACTTTATTGAGACTCGTAGTTCAGCCACTGCCATATTTGAACATGGAGAGAAGCAGTTGAGAAAGGAAGCGGAAAAAGAGGGTTTAGAAGGTGTTATGGTGAAAGGTGATCTTTATTTTCATTTATAGTATATATAAAATAAATTCCTGCACATGCAAACATGCAGATCTGTGCATATAGTTTCTGTATATTACTGTATTACAAGGCATCAGTCCACTTGTAGTTGAGTAATTGCAAAAAAAAATTACATTTTGAAAATTGTGATCCAACATTAGATTTAATATGAAAAGCATGAAAAAAGCTATGAAAGGTTTGTATGTAACTTCTTATAAAATATTTTCCCCCTGTTACTCCTGTGCAAATGTATGATCGATGTGACTCACCCAGTATCAGCAGGATCCGCGTGCCTGTTATGTTGGAAGCAGTGTGCAGATCTCTATGGATGAAATCAGTGAAAATGTAAAAGTAGCTACAAGTTAGACTAATATTGTAAAACAAATATATATATTTAAAAATGCCAAGATCTTAACATTACATAGAATGACCAGGTCTTTTTCTCTCTCTGGCTGTCTGTCTTTTCTCGTCACGTCAAATTCTTATCCGCCCATATCATCATGCCGCCAGGGGTGTTCAATGCTTATCACCATAAAGTGTCACTGTGGTGACAAGACCCTGTGTTTATCGCTTCCTGCTTCCGTTACTATTTTTTCAAGACTATGTATCTTCTTTTTTTTTTTTTACATGAACAGTATAGCAGCACTTTATTTGCTAGCACTTCAGAATACACCCCTGTCATGAAACTGTGTTTGGCAGGCAGGATTGCACCCAAAATGCAGCTCTCAGAGACAGAACTGAACTCAAAATGAAGCCTTATTCCTGGATTCACAGAATACATTAAACTAGGAAACAACAGGGAACCTAAACTGGGAAATACAAACAGACAGTAGACACAGCCAGAGAAATGAGGGAGATCTCGTCACTGGATGGAGGGAGACACAGATGATATATACACAAGAGGAAATCAGGGCAGAGACAGGGGAAGCAAAACTGAACATGATGCACACATGACAGGTGCCTGTCAAAGTAAAACAAGTGACAAGAACAGTGAGACTAAGGCACATGTACTTGTGCCTGATTCTGTTGGAAGTTTCTTCCTGTTAAAAGGGAGTTTTTTCTTCCCACTGTCACCAGAGCTCTTGCTCATAATGGGTCATATGACTGTTGGAATTTTGTCTGTTTTCTTTGTTTTACTGTATTACGGTCTTTACATTAAGGTATAAACCGCCTTGAGGCAACTGTTGTTTTCATTTGCCGCTGTAATAAATTGGAATTGAATTGAACCTTGCAGCTGCAGCTCTTTGCAGCAGATTCAGCAATAGAGGGGCTATTTCCTCACCCTTTTTCTGAATGCTCCTGAATCTCTGCCAGAGATGATCTGTGCCAGCAGTGTACACTCACTATATGTTTGGGTACATTATATTTGTCCACCTCTCTTCACCCAAATGTCCAGTATGGCGGCTGAAGATATAATAACAAAGTTGATCACTGATCTGCAACTTTGGGTGTCCATATGCTGGAACGTGGTGTCCGTCATGAAAAAGCTGTGATTAGCACAAAAGTCCAATAACAGAACACCAGTTGAGTTAAGATCAGACATGCCATTCCTCCCAGTCATGCCCTTTTAGGTCTCATTGTTGTTTCCCACATGGGCATTGAAGTCCCCCAGCAAAACAATGGAGCCCCTGGAGGGAGAACTCTCCAGCACTCCACCAAGGGACTCTAAAGTGGGTTTTATGCTGCTACAGATGTGTTTGTCTGTGTACATTTTTCCGTCGGGCAGAGGGGTGAGGGGTCACCCACAGGAGACGGTACCGTGCAATTCTCCAAGTTGCTGACTGCACGTTGCTGGAGGACATGATCTATGTGACTGATTTATATAATATAACATATCGAAAATATAACATTTGAAGACAATGTCAGAAAATACTACTAAAATGGATAAGTATTACTATTATTAATATAATTATTTTTAGAGGTGCTCAAAACTAAACTTGCCTTTGGGCTGCAGTGACACTTTATTTTTGTTATTTTTAACACTTGGTTTCACTTCAGCTCTTTATATGTTATAACTTCGCACTCCTCTGTGGCTGGCTCACGAACCAACCACAGCATGAACATGAGAGGCCCACAGAGCAGCGGTGGCACACTGCCTTTATCTGACAACAGAGCCCACTGCAAAACCAGCAGGCTCTCGAGTTGAGAGTGTGTGTGAGAGAGAGACCTTTGCCTTGTGTTTCAGGGGTGAGACCTGTTCCTGAGCTCCAGCACTCTGGTTTCACACATCTGAAGGTAATTAACTCAACTGTCTATTCTCACCCATCACCAGCTGCTACTTAAGATGGAGGAACTCCTTCACTTGAGTTGTTGGTCTGTGTCTGCAAAGCGTGGCTCCTCAAGTTTTACAGTGTTACTCTTGTGCTTACCTGCTGTGCCCTTTAGTCATCAATCTCTCTTTGTGCAGAAACTGTGGTGTGGAAAATTGGGAAGAAAAAGTCATGTGGAGAGAAGGAATCGGTGATCTTCCATGTTTGACCTGGCCACAGAGCTCACTGCATGAAAGTCATTGTGCTGAATCTTTGTACTCACTTGCTGTAAATAAACCTGTGAACCCTTACTTCAGAGCCCCCGTTTGAGTCCCCCTTTGACTGCTGGATATGACTGAAACATATGTTCACTAACAATTTCACAGTTCATAACCAGCTGATAGACCTCAATGTCTCTTACTGTTAAGAAAACCTAATGCATGGATCGGTTGAGTCACATGTTTTTTCAGCATCTGTACTAACCAATAATGATATTTGGTACTAATTTACATTTGTATTAATAATATAATATAATATAATATAATGGTGATGTTAAAGAAAACTCAGCCATCTGGTCTGCCAAGCAGCCCCTAATGTGTGCAGTGTAAATGAATGGAACTACATTTACAGGACCAATTTAACATGAAAACATAAACATTATCTTAAAGAGTCTAAAACTGCATAGTTCACCTGACTACAGAAACTTTCAAGATATAAGAAGTTTTTAAAAAAGGAATCTGAAACACTCTCGAAGTGGCAATATTTCTTCTTCTCCACCAAAAGATCCATTTTATTTTTATATTTTTCTTTTCCTTTGAAAGACATCTTGTTGGACCCTGAATGTTTATGACAGAAAACAAAGATAAATAAATATATAAAACATATAAACATGTTTTGGTTAAATCGCTTGGAAGTCACACAGCCTAAGTCTTGTAATATTTGATAGTGCTTTTTTGCATTTATAATTATAATGCAGGAACGTCAGATCAAAACTTCATCAGATACAGTCAACTGTGCATGAGAGTAAAACTGACTATTTACTACAACTATGGCATAAACATCAAGAATCACTTTCTAATTCCAACCTAAAATCGGGAAACATTATTTGCTCTTTTTTTCTAAAATACACTGAAATTATATAGGACTTAAAATGTCTTCAAATGTCTTTTTCCTCTAAAATATATAATATAATAAATATATTATATAATATAAAATAAAACTTAAAGTTATTGTCTACTAAGGATGTACTTTATGAAAATTATACCCTGATTTCAAAAAGATGACATTGAAATCATATGCGAAATATGGGGAAATTACACCATAAGGTGCAGTCTGTATTACGAAAATGCTTTAACATTGAATTAAAGCTTTGTGTTCTGAAATAATGGCCAAAAAGTTGTCTTTCTGGTGTTCATTGCTAGTTTATTCTCTATATCAAATGCGATACATTTTAAAATCACTAAAGATGATATACATCAGAATATGTATTTACCCTAAAACCTTTAGCAGAACATTAAAAAATTAATTTAAAAAAAGGTTTTTAACAATAAACATAAATAAAGAAGTAATTGCAAACTGTAAATGCATTAAAATTTTTTTACAATCTTCTAAAATAGCTTCATGATAAAACACAGAGAATGGATGCAGTCAAGAATGAAAACACGAAAATTGCTCAGCAATATAAACACAAACTTTTAAAACATTTAAATATATGTTTCGGTCTCATAATTGTCCTCTTATTGTGGGTCTTTCAGAAGCTTGAGGAAGTGGTTGAAGAAGGTGCTTTTCAGCAAATATGTTTCAGATTGCTCATTAAATACAGTACCTGAATTAAAGAATTAGCATTATTAGATTTACCTGATACAACAGGTCTTTACACAATTATGATAATCTGAAAACATTTTTTCATATCTGAAATTTTTAATACTTGTAGATTTATGCTTCTAAAACTGCTTACATAATTTCCTGTTTGAAAAACGTAACAAAATGCTTCTTTTGTAAGGATTTTGTAAGTTGCAATGATTTGAATAGATAACTCAGTGACTTAAAATAAAAGGCCCACACATAGTAAAGAATGATAATATTTACAACATTTTGCAACAAAGCAAACAGGTGCAAACAGATGCGCTATAAGTGCGATGTCAATATGTCCCAATAACTGAAAGTCTCCAGCAAATCAGAGTTTGTCTCAAGTCAGGTTTTAACTTCTCAGAAATGAGACTCTCCTGTGTCCTGGCTGCTCTTGGATGCCTGAAGATGACAAAGGGGCATAGTTCAATCAGCTGTGAAAACCATCTCAACTGTTCCTTAAGTATAGGGAACAGTTGAGGAACAGTTGTATACGTATGAAAAAGCATTAAGTATAACATTTTATTTTCTTCTTTAACCAATGGGAAAGAATTGAGTTTTGTTAGGGTTTAAAATTTAAGTAGTAGTTCCATAACAGATCAAATGTTCAAAATGAAATGAAATGAATCAAATCAAAATGAATTTTCTATAATAAATGTTTCATTTCACTTTAATATTGCTTAGTGAGAAAGTCAAAAAAGGAAAAAAAAACATAAATAGCTGCTTACTTGAGCTTTGCTGGAGTAATTGAACTCTTTGTAGCTCTTCTTCTGAGGCACACAGAATCTGGCCAGGATGTTTTCATATTCTTCTCTCACCTAAATTCAGAAAATCTTTAGTATGGGCATCACTAAAGACAGCAGAACTCGTCCCTTACTTTTGAGACAAATGTGACTAACCTGTTTGGAAAACAGACAGTGCATGATAAAGAGCATAACACCCTGAAGGCTGCCAAAAATGGTGAACAGGTAAGACATGGCTACAGTGCTTTCCTCAAACTGGAAACAACCAAAGATCCACATGATGCCCAAAACGCACAGCTGTGCCACTGCAGTAATGGTGAATGCCCTGCAGGAGGCAACAAAGATGCATACATGTCATGTGCGAGGTACTTTGGTGAGGCAAAAGATTACGTTATACTTTCCACACAGCAATTGCATGGGGCGTTTAGCGTGGGCAGCTTGAGTTGTGACTTACTTTATTTTGTGCAGATTATCAAGATCAGGGTTTAAACTTGAGAACTTCTGTGCTAACTTCCACACAGTTATGAGAAAGAAGAAAATGTTTATCTGAAAGACCAAAGATGAGGTTTAAACATAACACAAGTCACCATTTTGGATCACATTAAACTCAATAATTATTTAAATACTTACAATGATGATGACACAGACAGGCCCAAAGAAAC